TTTTTTTTTTTTTTTTTTTTTTTTTATTTCTCCTATCCCTTTACCATAACTCATATTGCGCTTAAGTGATCAAATTTTAAAAAATTAAGTAATGATACACAACAATAATGATACACAACAACTTATTTGTATAATTTTTTACACAACTTTTATATATTATTAAATGAATAGATACATATAATAAAAACATATAAAATTGTATTAAAAAATTGCACATAAAAATTGTCTCCTACTCATTTTCAAAAAAAAAAAAAAAAAGGCCCATTACTCATCCACATCATTTTTGTTCATACTTCATCCGCTTTGATTTAATTGTCCTAATTAGAATTTTGTCGAATATTTGATTAGATGATTTTAATAAGAATTATGTATTGTTTAGGCCATAAATTGCAAATTTTTTTGATGATGTCATGTGTCATATTGTTTAAATGAGTGGCTATAATGAAGCCACGTCAGACTTGATGTTGTTGTGATTTGGAGCATGATAGACCTTACCAATGGCTCCCACATTTCTAACCAAAGTTGCTGTTTTTTGCAATTATCTCTCATTTATTTGGTGGAATTTAACATTAGTGGAGATTATGGCTAAATTTTAGGAGAAGTTACAGGCCAAGTTTAGCTAGTGGGTGAGGTGGCAAATAGATGACAAGTTCTGGAGAGAATTTTGACCAGGTTTGCTGTTGAGTTATCCAACTACCCCATGAAGTTTACCATGTTTTGCACAAGTGGGAATGGGTGATTATCATCTTCCTCAAGAGATACAAAAGAGAAAAATTCAAAAGAAGCAACCCACTACTAACCTTACACACAACTCATCAAATTTAGTTTTCTAGTTTCATAGCTACTGTTCACACAGCTTACAAATCTTAGTTTTAACATAACTTCTAGTTAGATTTAGGTTAGTTCTAGCTTGTTTGTTTATTTAGTGATTTTGAAATAAGTATCATTTCTTCAAATGTCAACTTATATGGCTTTCATGCTTCTCTTTCGTGTTTATGTTAATTCCAATCTCTTTTGCTTAAACGTTATGGTTACTTAGCTTTATTCTAGCTTCAGCCCATTTACTTTTCCAATTTTACAACAATTTAGTTTAATTTTCCAGTAATTTGATAATCAAATATGTTAGTAAATTTAAATGAAGGCTCATTCATTTCACTCATTTCATTTATTATGGATCTTTAAGCTTTTAGTGTATGGTGGTGTTTTAAAATCCTTGGAGTTGTCCAAAGTAAATCAGTAACCCATTCTATAGCAAGGCATCCCTCCTTTCTGCAATCATTTGAAAGTGCAAACTCAACTTTAAACCAATGTTCTTCTAACCATTTTAACAGAGGTTGATTGTGTAGAAGTAGAGGGTCATTGAGAAAATCCTACTTTCTTACTTTATAGCAAAGCAAGTGGTACACTCCTTATCTGGATTTGTTGTGCACGTGTGCTACTTTAAGATTTTTGAGGAAACATGTATATAAAGAAAATTTTTTAATTGGCATTCATTTCCTAATACTCTTATATGAAACTATCAAATTAATTATACTGAAGGAATTGTAGCTTAGTTGGCAAAAGAATTTGTTTTGCACCTTGTTAATCAAGGCTTGATTTTCTAGGAAGGTGATAAAAAAATAATTTCTCATAAATTCTTTAATCTCAGATTAGATGTTTGCCTTTGACCAAACTAAGAAAGTATTAATCTCAAGGTATGTAAAACTAATCCAAAAACACCCTAACCACTAAATTTAAAAATATGTATATTAAATTAATTTATATAATTTTTTTAAACAAGTACAAATTTAGAGAGGAAGTGTAGTACATTTTACTACTATGCCATCTGGATTGGGCTAAAGATAATGGTAGCAATATGTTGTGGACTTGCTCCAAAGTCCAAACCCAGTTCTATCCTATTGAAGCCCTAGTTGAAACTGAAAGCCCAGTTGCACTCTCTTCTGCTTTCCAGCATCTTCTTCTCTAAACACCCAAAGCCCTAACCCTATAAATCTCCATTTCCATACCCTCCCCTACCCTCCGTCGGCTCCTCCAAAACCCTAAATAAACCCTCGCCGCTGTCCTCTTCTCGGCTCCAGCATGTCCGAGCTCGAGGTTTCCCGTTCAGAGAAGAAAAAGCACAAGAAAAAATCCATGCCGGAGTCCGACGCCAAAGACACCACCACCACCACTGACGCTCCGTCGGTGACGGACACTGATTTCCTTATCAAGCCTCAAAGTTTCACTCCTCCTATTGACACTTCCCAGTGGCCGATCCTCCTCAAGAACTACGACCGCCTCAATGTTCGGACTGGTCACTACACTCCTTTGCCGTCCGGGTACTCCCCTCTGAAGCGGCCTCTCACTGAATACATCAGGTATGGTATCATGAACCTTGATAAACCAGCTAACCCATCTTCGCACGAGGTTGTTGCCTGGATTAAGCGCATTCTCCGCGTCGAGAAGACTGGCCACAGCGGTACTCTGGACCCCAAAGTCACTGGGAACCTCATTGTTTGCATTGAAAGAGCCACCCGGCTCGTCAAATCGCAACAGGGTGCAGGCAAAGAGTATGTCTGTGTTGCCCGGTTGCATTCCAAGGTGCCTGATGTAGCCAAGGTGGCTCGTGCGCTTGAGACATTGACTGGGGCTGTGTTTCAGAGGCCGCCATTGATTTCTGCTGTCAAGAGGCAGCTTAGGATCAGGACCATCTATGAAAGTAAGTTGCTTGAGTATGATGCAGATAGACATTTGGTTGTTTTTTGGATTTCTTGCGAGGCAGGTACTTATGTTAGGACCATGTGCGTGCATTTGGGGTTGATTCTTGGGGTTGGTGGCCATATGCAGGAGCTTAGGAGGGTGAGGTCTGGGATTTCGGGAGAGAGAGATAATATGGTGACTATGCATGATGTTCTGGATGCACAATGGGTGTATGATAATTATAGAGATGAGAGTTATTTGAGGAGAGTGATTATGCCTCTTGAGGTGCTTTTGACTAGTTATAAGAGGTTGGTTGTGAAGGATTCTGCTGTAAATGCTATTTGCTATGGTGCTAAGTTGATGATTCCGGGGCTTCTGAGATTCGAGAATGACATTGAGGTTGGGGAGGAAGTGGTGTTGATGACTACTAAAGGAGAGGCAATTGCCCTGGGCGTTGCAGAGATGACAACTGCAGTGATGGCTACTTGTGATCATGGTGTTGTGGCTAAGATTAAGAGGGTTGTGATGGATAGGGATACTTATCCCAGGAAGTGGGGTTTAGGTCCGACAGCATCCATGAAGAAGAAACTGATAGCTGAGGGTAAATTGGATAAGCATGGAAAGCCAAATGATAATACTCCTAAAGAATGGTTAAGAAATGTGGTGTTGCCGACAGGTGGGGATACTATGGTTGCTAGTCTTGCAGCTGCAACAGCAGAGACTGTTGTGGAGAAGGAGGTTACTGTTGTGGAAAAGAAGAAGAAGAAAAAGAGTGAGGATGAGGAAGATGGTGATGGTGATGGTCGCAAGCGCAAATTGGATGAAATTTCTGATAGCCCTGCTCCAGCTGCTGCTAAGAAAGCTAGAATTGAAGAAGTTGAGAAAGAGGAGACAGTGAAGGTGAAGAAAGTGAAAGAGGCAGGAGTTGAGGAAATTGAAGTTGAGAAGGAAGAGAAAAAGAAGAAGAAGAAGAAAAACAAAGAGGGTAGTGATGAAGAAACCGAAGAGGAGACTGGGAAGGAGAAGAAAAAGAAGCACAAAGAGAAGAAGGTTGAAGCTGGGTCACCAGACACAGAAAAGTCAGAAAAGAAAAAGAAAAAGAAGAGCAAAGAAACTGAGGAGGCATCTGATGGTGCTGCCAATGGTGAAGCTGAAGCTGGTGGTGATAAAAGTGAGAAGAAAAAGAAGAAGAAGAAGAAGAATAAAGATGCTGAAGAAGACTAAATCTCAGAATTTCAGGTTTTTTGAGGTAAATCCCTTTTTGCCTGTATGTTTGTCTGAATCTTCATGGCAACTACAGTTAACTTTTGTAGTTTTTGCAGATTTTCAATGTAGTTTCTGCATAATTAGATTTGTATTGTGTCATGGAATGCTTTTTCTTTGCCTATAATATTTCATATTATTTTCTATTGTTTGCTTTAATGTTTGTTAATTCATATTAGTAATTACATCAATATTTTCCCTTCCATAAAAACTGGAATGATGTTATAATTTAAAAGAATTGCTTTCTTAAACTGAAGATCATAGGAACATCTCCAGTCCTAGCATGTTTAGAACTGTTTGTCTCTGTATTTCATTGGTATCAGATTGCAGCCTCCCCTGATTCTATCCCTTTGTTTTTTGTAGACATCTTGATGTGCAATACAACAGGATAGCCCTCTTCTTTCCTAAATCTCACATGTTTTACTGTTAGTCTTAGTCCTTTAACTCAGAGTCTCGTGTTCTTATTAGTTAAGACACCTCTTAAGATGCCAATAGTCTCCTGATTCCCTTCTTTTTTTTTTGGTTCATGGATTTGGGAGTCATATGTTTTTATTTATGAAAAACTGTTTTACAGTCTAATATAGTGGTTTAAATTGTATCAGACTACAAACAGCGAACTCTTTTATTTATATGTTGAGAAATCTCATCAAAAGATCTTTGTGACTTAAGCTGCAACTCTTATGGCCTTTAGTTGTTTTCAACTTGGGACAAGGCCGGCAAAAAAAGGAGTTTCTTAGGGTAGTGGTTGTAGTGGATTCACCTCATCATTGGATATATTTCTCTCAAGGTCAAAGATTTTTCCTTTTAGAATTGTCTTTTAACTTCCATACTAGTCTTTTAAGTACCTAAATTAACAGGTCAAAGATTCCTTCCTTTCTTTCACCTTTTTTTTTTTTTCTCCCAATTACAAATCTATGGACAATTTACATTTTTATCTTTATGTTAACATATCTCATGGCAACCAGAACTTGATTGAATTTGTACCAATTTAAAAATCTTGATTTGAGGATATAGTTAGAAGTTTAAACCTCTATATTACCAAGCAACTAACCATAAACCTTAAACTCTAAACACTAAAAAAAAAAAATAATAAAGAAGGAAAAACATCTGTGTTAGGAATTTCATCTACATATATGTTATAAAATCTCGTCAAAAAATCTACTAAGAAATAATCAAAAAAGATAAAATGAAAATTGTAATAATGCAATGAATAATTATTTCTTTTGTTCTAAAATACTTAACTTTTTTTTTTCCCGCAAATTAAATATTTAGAAATAATTTATATGTTTTCTTATATTACCTAAAAAGAGTAATGATATATGCATAGAAATTTTTTATATGACTTTTATTTACAACTTTCACATAATGTATACATACCATAGCAAAATTAAAAAAATCACAATTATTTGCCAAAAAAACAAAGTAAATAAAAAAGATTAAAACAGAAAATGTATCTCTCCTTTAAAAAACCAACTGTTGTTGTGGATTGAAGGAGTTCTTTTTTTTTTTTAATTTCTCCTATCCGTTTACCGTAGCTTATATAATAAATACTAGTATAAATATGAAGTAATTAATAAAGAAACTTATGTGATTATATGAAGTAAATGCTATAAAAATGAAACAATGCTTTTAAAAGCTTCTAAACGCATCTCATCTCCTTAATTTGCAGTCATCCTATAAATAGAATATCTTTGATGCTAACTAATCTTTGTAAGACAAAAGACATCTTACCAAACATACAAGTGCAGAGACAACTTACAATTCCTTGATCAGCAACATGGCAAAGTACAACATTTGTGCAATTTTTGCTATTTTGTTTATGGTAAGTGGAGTGATCATGACTCTGGAAGGAGCTGTTGATCCTATCAAGGAAAATAATTGTGAGGGCAAGATGGATACAAATTGTGTTCTTGAGGTTTTCGGTAGTATATTCAAGAATGGAACTGTGACCCAGCATTGTTGTCAAGAGCTCATTGCACTAGGTCAAGTTTGTCACTACGCATATGTGAATAGGGCTCTCCAACTGCCTGAATTCAAGAATGAAAACTCATCAATAATTTTGGCAAAAGCCAAGCAATCATGGGACACATGTTATTCAGTTTCACCAACTCCTTCTCCATGAGAAGGTTATATTGGCTTTTCTCAAATAAACATTCTAAAATAATATTTACCTTCGTATACTCTTGGTGTTTGAACTAATATTGCAAAGATACAAAAGCATATACACGCACTATGCTGCAAACCCCTACAAGTTATTTGCATTTTTTTTTCTCAAGTTTCTCAATATAATAAACTAACCTTAACCCATGCATTCAACAGTTTTAGGAACAGCAACATGACAAGGTTTTAGTAAATGATAAATAAACTCTAAAAAGTAAATATTTGGGTGAGAGCACAATTTAAACACCCCCTCCCCCCCACCCAAGAAACTAACTCTAATTTCCAGACGGTATTCTCAAATATCAAAAACTTCAAGTTGTATGACTAGGTCCTAGGCAACCACTTCTAGCTTCTATTACTCTACCTTTCAACACCAGTGATAACCCAAATAGTTGGGTACATAAATCTGTTATCTTGAGTCGTATTTTATCAAATTGATTGGTAAACATCATTTGATATCTCATCTCATAGTCTACCACAGGAAAAAGGTACAATTGCAGCTTAAGTTTTGTAGCTTTTGTTTGCTTAGTGGAAACTAGAAACTGACAAGTTATAAAAGGAAAAAAAAAAAAAAGAAGGATGAAAGATTTGGTTGAGGATTTCATTTGACGTAAATAACTGAACTATCTTTTGGTTAGACCACAAAGCACAAGCAGAAATGAAGCACTCATCCTTTTTGAAAGTGACCTAGTGATTCTGTAGCCATGCCTGATTTTAGTAAAAAAAGGGAGCAAATTATAGGTCATGTGGTTGAATCAAAGAGGATACTAGGAAATATTCTGCAAGGTGAATACTAAATGGCATGGCCTAGCAGGTCATTTGAATTATATTGCAGTAACTCCAAGAAAAGAAAGAACCATAATCTAGGTGCCAATCTTGCTTTAGGGATATATAAAGAAGAATAAGCATTAATACCTTAACCCATTTCGGTAGATCCTTAGCATTAGCATTGTGTTGAAAGGATCAAGCACAGGCTACCTAAAAACAAGGAATTAGCAGAAAATAACTTATTGGGTACAAAAAAAAAAAAAAATTCCATTACAGACTATCAGAATGCATGCAAGATTGATATACAAGCAAGACAAAGTTAACAAATAGAGAATTCAACAAGCTAATCATTGAACTAATTTCCAAAATTTTTTTGGCCATCCATATCTCTTCATGTTCTGCACTCGAACAAATAGACATTCTAGCATATATCATAGATTATAGAGATATGATGCCAATGTCAAATTCAGATTTTTTTTTTCCTTCCCTGAGATAGGGATATCTAAATATAGAAATAAGCTCATTTCATAGCATTATTAATACAGAGACAATACACTACAGAAAAATTTCCTTAGAAAAGCACACAAAATTAGAAGTTGAAAGCATAAATTTTTGTAGTTATTCATTTGTAACATGTTTAACATAAAAATGTTTAAAGAATGAAGAATTTTCAACAACTGAAAGTTCTCAAATCATTACAACTAAGTACTCACTAACCATCCAAACTTTTTATTAACAAATAATTTTCAGGGAAAAAGGGGAAACCTGAAAACCGAAGGAAAGGAATCAAAACTAATCGTCCTCTCCTCGCTTTCATAGCTTTGGCAAAGTGATCCGAGTCCAGTGGTTGTCTCATTAACGATTTTCTCTGATTTTTGTTAGTTCTTCTAGGAGACAGAACTCTGGATTGGTGGTCCGAAAATAATTTTAACGCTTGAGGAGTCCCTAAACCACTCCGATAATTATCTTTGCTGCTACAGCCAAGAATAAAGGAAAATTGATTTTATAAGAAGTTCATCTTTTTCTCTCAACTCTCCTTCTCCTTCTCTGTAGAATTGTACAAAATTGTGTATGTTTTCAACACAAATTTTGCATCCAACCTAAAACCAATTTGTAATGGGTGGAGTCGCTCTTCTTGTGGGATTTTCTCTCTCAACAAGAATTGCGGTGCAAGGCCTCAAGCATTGCTTCAAAACCAACAGCTGATTGTCTTGACTTCAAAGACTTCAAAGACTTCAAAGACTTCAAAGACTTCAATTCATCAAGTGCAGCAAGATTATCCATCTCTCTTTTGAAATCCAATGTTTTATTCTCCAAAGATTTCAAGGGATCCCCCATTTCCTCAAATTCCCTTTTCTGCCTCTGTCTCTCTGCCTCCTCATCCTCAGCACGCCAAGGTTCAAAATATCACGTCGCACCGGACTCAACAACGTAATCGGAATTCTGGGGATCTGATACCAGTAAACAGAATTTAAAGGAATACAAGGAAAATCCACAAAAGAGAAAGGATCTTCGATATATATCCTTTGCAATAGAGTCTGGAATACAAGAGAATTATAGAGGAGTTTAAGAAGATTGAAGAACACCAAAATAACTGAACACCCAACAAAGAGTTACAAAACACGTTTATACTAGCATATTAACTGACACAAACCAACAGTAACTGATATGCCACCTGCATATGCCACTTGTGCGTGACTTCTAAGTTTTTCTACATATCAATTCCTTCCCCTCAAAAACATCCTTGTCCTCAAGGATGGAAATTTGGAAATCGTTGTTGAATATCGTAGAGATACTCCCAAGTAGCATCTTCAGGGTAAGCATGAGACCACTGGACTAACACCTTAGTAGCAGCTTGATTTCCTCGCTTCACCATTTTTCTTCCCAAAACAGCTACAGGCTCTAGCATCACTAGTAAGGGCAAATCCACAGGAAATTGACTAGTCACCTGAATTTTCGCTCCAACCTTTTTCTTTAGCTGTGACACATGAATTACTGGATGTATCTGAGATGAATCAGGCAAGGCTAATTTATATGCTACCTTACCCACTTTATCAATCACTTGAAATGGGCCAAAATATTTAGCATCAAGTTTGTGAGATGGCCTAGATTGCACAGATTCTTGCCTATATGGTTGAAGTTTGAGATACACCCAATCTCCAATAGCAAATTGTTGTTCTTGTCTATGCTTGTCAACTTGCTGTACCATTCTGTGTTGTGCTCGAGTGAGGTGAAATTTCAGTACCTTCAACATAACTTCCCGAGCTTGTAAACTTTGATCAACAGCTGCAACATCTGAATCTCCAGGTACATAAACTATATGCAATGGTGGTGGAAATCCATACAAAGCCTCAAATGGAGAAATTTGGGTAGCAGTATGAAAATTAGTATTATACCACCACTTAGCAAGAGGTAACCACTTGCTCCACTCTGTCGGACGATCACCAGTCATGCATCTCAAATAATTTTCAAGACACCTATTCACCACCTCTGTTTGCCCTTCAATTTGAGGATGATAAGTAGAAGAACATAGCAGTTCAACCCCCTGGAGTTTGAACAACTCCTGCCAAAAATTACTAAGAAAGATGGGATCCTTGTCAGATATAATTTCTTGAGGCAATCCATGCAACTTAAAGACATTGTCCATGTAAGCTTGTGCAACAGTAAGAGCTGAGTAAGGATGTTATAAGGCAATGAAATGTGCATATTTTGTAAGTCTATCAACAACAACAAAGATAACATCTTTGCCATAAGATTTTGGAAGGCCTATAATGAAATCCATACTGACTTGAGTCCAAATTGCTTCAGGAATTGGCAAAGGTTGCAATAGCCCTGGAGTTGGAGTATTTTCCGGTTTATAATGCTGACATACATCACATTGCCTTATGTACTGCCTCACATCTTTCTCTAAGCCTTTCCAATAAAACAAAAGCGCAAGCCTTTTTGTGGAAGCTTGAATTCCAGAGTGACCTCCCATTGCACTATCATGCACCAAATGAATCAACTTCCCCCTAAGAGCAGCATTATTTCCCACAACTAATCTGCCTTTTCGTCTTAGTTGTCCTTCAGACCAAGTGTAAGCAGAATCCTTTAAAGAACCTTGCTGTAATTTATTACAAATTTCCCGAAGCACTAGATCAACTTCCCAGCTAAGTCTCACCTCTTCATAAATACCAAGAAGAATCCTAGAGACTGCCATTTGCATGAGTTGGTTACTGGACACCCGAGAAAGGGCATCTGCTACCACATTTTCTTTTCCCTTTTTATAACTAATTGAAAAAATCATAGCCCATTAATTTAGCCAACCAAGCTTGCTGTAAAGGAGTGCTAATCCTCTGCTCTAAAAGATACTTCAAACTCTAGTGATCTGTTTTGACGATAAAATGCCTTCCAATCAAATAATGTGACCACTTACGCACTGCATAAATTAGAGCTAACAACTCCTTTTCATAAACTG